CTCGAAATAACAACTCCCACGCCCTACAACTCTACAATCTCCAATGTCCCACTGTATTTGCGTTTCAAAGCAGGTTCCCCAACCGTACCCCTGGAAGCCTCAAGAGGAGCACGTGGCAGCCCGAAAGAACGACCTCCTCGGAACTCTGGCGGACACCTGCCGCGCCAAGAAGCTTCTGAAGTTCCAGGTGCGGGCCTGGCAGAAGGTTCAGGGATGTTCAGGGCTTCATATAGTATCAATGTATGGTTTAGGGGTTAGGGCTTAGGGTTTAGGGATTACGGTTTAGGCACGTGCACACTCGGACAATCCCCAGTGTTAGGGTTTAGGGGTTTAGGGTTTAGTATATGAGCTGTAGTCTAAAGTCCTTAAAAGGAGATTATATAGGGGATTATTGTAGGGTTTATAAAGGGGGGTATTGGAGTTTAGACACTAGTTCATATAGTACCAATCTAATACAAGGTTTCAGGGTTTCAGCGCCTGAGTAATGACCCTTAGGGTTTAGGGTTTGGGCTTTTTGGCTTAGGGGATCAGATGGCAAGAACATGGAAATTGCTGTGAAAACTGGGTGTATGTAGTGCCTCTTAAGGATAGAGTCGCGTGGAGCTTCAAAAAACACCAACATTATTGTGAGGTTTTTGTATTTGAGGCACCCTACGCAGCAACTCTACAAGGAGTCAAACACTGCAATATTGTAAAATTGGTCATGAGTCAGGTTCTGGTATCAAAGTTTTGCGTGGGGGTGCAGCTGCTGCTGCTGCTTTTGGCAGGTTCGGGATGTTGGGCTTAAGGGCAGACGCAAACTTGTACTTATCGAATTAGCATGAGAGTGGACAAGAAACCCTGAAGCTAATATAGAATGTAGGGTGTACGTCAGAACAGGGTAGCGCACATGTGATTATCAACAACTTGAAGCTGTTTAGAAGGGACCTGCTCACAATACTTCTGTGGGACTACGAAGTACCACTCAGAGTTTAGTATTTCCGGGCTTAGGGTTCAAGACAACCATGGTCGTCTTAGTACTTCCCTCGCCCCAAACATTCTGGCCTCTAAGCCCCTCAATATTGAATGTTTCCATGGTGGGTTAGAAAAGATTGGTAACATTCAGCATTTAGTATTAGGGGGGGGGTTCATATCGGCCCTAGTTCCTAAACCCCGATAACAGCATAATCGTCGTTTCCATTTACTCTTCCATTCCCTTATAAACGCCTATAAAAGCCCTTTTTTGTTTGACATAATGGGGAATGGATTAGTTGGTTCAGGCCTAGTCTTTCCTACTAGGCCAAGTTTGGGGAAGGGATTAGTTGGTTCAGGCCTTGCCTTTCCTATTACGCCAAGTTTGGAGATTTGGATACCACTGGTTGGATCATATAGGGATACTGGGTCATAGGGTTCAGGGTGGAGGCGTTCAGGCCTCAAAGACGGGAATGGTTTTGCATGAACAGGGGGACCCCAATAGAGACCAAATGCATTATATCATTTTGATATATAAGACCCCCAAAATACAACCCTACATACTCCCCATAGCTTCTGCTCAGGTGCAGCATGACTTCATTTTCACCATGCAGGCCACCGTTGGTTTGATGATTATATCTAGGGCAATTACGCGAGGGGAGCCTATCATGCAGGGACCTTACACAAGCATTATATACCCCTGATCCGACTTGCTTGCTTCATGACTTTCAACCCTCTTCGGCAATATGCCTGAACAAGACCTCTCGCATCTGTCGCGCCACGCTCTCAGTAATGCTTCTCCTGCTTTACCGAATTTAGATTCCAGATCGAGCTGCGTACTACCCGCTCCTAGGGCCTTCCAGATTGTTTGTTTGATATTCCCCGCTGATAGCTCAGAGAAAAGCATCATCAAGAGCGGACATTGTAACAGCTAGCATAAGTTTGTTTGGCTATCATTTGGCCAGCGCTTGAACTGATTGCCGTGCCATTCATCCCGTTTTCTCTGCCACAGAACATGGAGAATGTATGAGATGATATGAGAATGTTTGAGATGAGACTGAGCCAACATTTCCGTGCTGCATTTCCATTCTGCTTTGCAGAAGTAGCTAGCTACGGCACCCCCGGAAGAGCCATCACCATTTCAACACGCGCCCTATACCCGAAACTTATTGAACACTACTACCGTAGGGACCCTCAAAACTAAGCCTTATAGCACCTGCCCGTATACAAAAAGTGCTAGTCATCAAAGGGTCAGTTTGCACAGCCATAAGAGAAACAGCGCAGGGCATGATTCAGGAGGCACTGGCGGGTGACTCGGCTTGGGTTTAGCCCGGCGATCTCTGGCGCGTTGGACTTAGGACTCAGCATGGATTGAGATTGCTGGTGTAATCATTGGTTGTGGCATGATACTTGGAGTGGGTCTCGGTGGTGTCGCCTCGCCAGTGCGACGTTGCTGTGATTCGCTGTTACTATCTGATGCAATGTTCACTAGTGGCATGCGAATATGCGTTCAAGATGACTAATTATCGGGAGCAAGCAAATGGTTTGAAGCTTGGGAGGAGTCAGGTTGTGCACAAGTTGATGCAACACGTTGGGATGTACACTTTGCAAGGCTCTTGTCAGAGTTTTTCAATCGTTTGTAGAATTTACTGTGCAGGGAGAGGGCACGTGAGAACAGCCAAGGGAAGTCGGACTACTTCGCACCCATGTGGGATGAGCCGGCCGTCCAGGTACGTCGGGTCATTGCCACCTTGCAGATTAGAGAGAGAGAGACAAAGGGCCCTGTACCTCAAACAAAGCTCAAACTGCAGTGTTGAAGAAGCTCCAGACTCCAGGCACCTATCCAGAGGAATATTATATGTACCAGAACTTCATATGTACGCTACCTGTACCTGTGCAGACACGCCATTTGTGGCAGCCACAATCAAGATGAGGGCCAGAAAGCATTCAGCAATCTGGGCAATTTTTCCTCTTGGAATCTTCTAAGCAGGCCTGGCAGATGAGACCCAGAGATGTTGGAACAATTAATCAGTTGCAAGACACAAGAAGGTGTAGGCCTCAGATGAGCACTAGCCGAATGAGACTCCATTCGTTTGCTGTCCCACGCAATTTTCAGCCAAAGCTGATGCCTGTCAGGGAAGACATCAGCCCCTCTGCCTTCAGGATTCTTGTAATAGCCCCTTAGAGACGGATGTTGATGGTGGGTTGCAGCTATTCCCACGAGTCATGCAGCGGCCAAGAGAGCTTCGCAGGAAACGCTGGAGAAGCACTTTCCCGGATGGAAGAGCCTTCCGGGACATGAAAGACACCCGGGTTGCAGATTATGCAGGCCACCCTAACCCTCCTGGCATCGACTGGTCCATTTCCATGTGCATGTGACGGCCCAGTAATAATCAGTAATATCATTTTCCTAACTATATGCGGATGCCGTTCTCGCATCTCACATCTTTCATCACAACTAATTGATGGTGGCATTGGGGAAGTGCATGGGGCGTGACGGCCCACACACACATGCCGGGTCACGCAAGGGCAGGTGCAAGGGTCCATTCAGATGTAGAAGTTAAGTGCTCTCAGTTACCTAAATCATAGGTTACTGGGCTATGTAACTATAGGGTCTCTAGACTCTAGAACCCAGAACCCATTATTCAGTTAGACGGAGCCCTAATGGGAAGTTAAGGGTTTAGAGTTTAGGACCATGTTACGGTTGCGCTTCGCCCAAGCTCGTGCATGTGGCCCTCCGCTGAAACCATTATTCAGTGCTTTGAGCTGTACGCACCCATGTTTGATTGCAGTATCTGAATCAAAGCTGCAGCTTTTAAGTGGCTCATCTGCAGAGGTCCTCTGGGCAGGCTTGGAGGTCCCAGATCTTTCGCCAACAGCGATGGAACGCCCTCATCTGGGCTCCAAAATTAGCAGTCTTGGTATACAGTACTAGTTTCTCCGACGTATTATTTTGGAGAGCAGCCATAGCCTCATCCGAGTTCTTTCGCTTTGCTGCAGCCCAGGAAATGCTCGACTCAGGGAAGCCCTGGCAAACAACCAGACCTTCCGCCAGATTTTGGATGCGCTGTGACCCACTGGCTCCCCGAGAGTGTAGACAGGGACCATGTTCAGGCAATCGCGGGGTCCATCTAAGGATGACTTTGCGGATTCTGCCTGCGGCTTAAGAGCCAGTAGGGTTGAAGTGCCCCAGTGCTGCTACAGCTGTTTCACAGCTACACTGCGCTTGGGGTGCTTGCCCCTCACAAGGCAGTGTACAACTAGGCAGCAGCTTGGGCCTAGTTGGCCCGATAACTGAAGTTACAAGAGAGAGTTTGTTCAGGCAGATGGTTTAGAGCAATGGTTGGCTTGGGTCACGGCTCGGGTCTGTCAGTAGAACCGGAAACGGGAAACGCATCAGGAGCATGATCACATCACAACTCGTCATGACTCCGAGTATGCAGCGCCCTGGATCCCCTTACCCCTGGAATCCCATGCATGTTGTGGTTGGAACCAGTCTGGTTCGGACCTCTCCTGCCAAGCGATGCAGGGTCTAGACCATCCAGTGCAGTTCCTCACGGGTCTACACCTTCAGGTTTTGTGGAAGGTAGTAAAGGAAGTTTTGGATGTTGTGGCTTGCTGAGTTGTAGCTGGAGGAACCTTCAGGCAGGATCTAGACAGAGTCTGAACATAGGACTGCTTCTGGACGGCCGCACAAGCCCAGAAAAAAGCGAGGGAGAAAGAGCGGCGCTGGTGGGTTCACAGAGTAACAGATGATGCTTTGAAGCGCTCCTTAGCTTCTTATCTAAGAATAAGACTGAAGATGCCAACATGTGTAAGAACAGCGCAGTATCATTTTTCGCAGCAACTGGAATAACAATGGGAGTGAAGCCACAGCCACAGCCCGTAGCAATGCGGAGCAGGAGGAGCAGCAAGAGGAGGAGATATGATGATCCCTAAACCCTAAACCCCTAAACCCCTAAACCCTATGCAGCTTACAGGGAGGAGCGTGGTTGGCTGATTTGTCTGTAGGCTCTTGAAGCAGCTCTGGTTGGCTGATTTGTCTGTAGGCTCTTGAAGCAGCTCTGGACAGCAGCAACGACAGCCGCGAAGTGCTGACCCTAGTCCCTAAGGGTCCATGTACCCAGTAATTAGGTGCTTGGGTTTTGGGTAATCGTAATTACAGTACAGGTTTGGGGGAGGTATATGATTATTGGGTACTTGGACCCTTAGAAAATGTAGCATGCTTGAGCTTTTTGGTTTGCACGTAGGCTGTAGTCTAAACTCCTTAAACGGATTTATATAGGGGTTTTAGTAGGGGACTATTATAGGGTTATGAAGGAGAATATGGGGGTTTCAGGCTATGGCTCACACAGGCTAGGGTCCCCATGAAGCCACCCTATACCCTAAACCCTAAACCCTAGCCATCAATGTGAGGAAGGTATTGACAAGCACCCGTCGGCTCCACATGTTTCTGGCGTGGCAGGTGCCGTTCTGTTGCACTCTTCGCACATAATAGGGTTTCCCCAATATACTAACTTAATTTAAGTTCCTTAATCCCTATATTCCCCGAGTTTCCATTTCATTTTCCATTTTCTTTTCCATTTGAGTCTCCATTATAGGGGGATAATATACCCTAAACCCTTTTGAAATCTGGGAGCCTGAGGCCGGAAACGACCCTCAGACAGCTTCCACGCCACTTGGCAGTCAGATTTTGCTCCCCCAAGTGATTGAATCTCCGAGCTGCAAAAGGCCGCAGGACCCAAGGCTTAGTAAAGTTTGTAACGCAAATCCGCTCCCAGTACCTCGTGACCATGATGGCGAGCTTGAAGTTGCGAGGGCCAGAGGGTCTGTATTTGACGCTCCTAACCTGGCGTGACCTTCAGTAACAAGCGGTCTACGACGACTCATGACTACTCCTGCTGCTGGGACCTCGCAACCCTTACTGTCTCCCTGCTAGACTCTGCTAGATCTTGCAACAAGGCAATGTCATGAATGCCACGAACCAGTGTTACTAACATAAATAACATAATGAAGTGATTGGCTGCTATTTCTTTGGGTTGTATAGTCGGGATTCCCACAACGCTTATTCTAGGGCATACTACAGGAAGTTATATACGTACATAGACATATACTTGTATATAAGATATAGAACCCCGTAGGATGTATTTTCAGTCTTAGCATTCGACATTACGCTGAAGCCAAGGAGCCGCTAATTATTTTTTGGCTACGCGTCTGAAGCGAGTTTAGTTGGGAGGGCTCCTCAAGCCCCAAATCCTAAATCCCAAACATTAAACCCTGAACCCTGAACCTCTTAAACCCTGAACCCTAAGTCATGTGCCTTAAATCCTGAACCTTAACCTTGTTCCTAGGCCGGACGCCGGCGTGGCCCCAACTGTCCGGCAAAAACATCCAGATCCGCCATCCCAAAGGCTCCGTAGCAAGGCGGGGTTTAGCTGGTTTGGGGATTCAGGGATTTAGGGTTCAGGGGTTTAAGGGTTCAGGGGTTTAAGGGTTCAGGGTTTAAGGGGTTCAGGGTTTAGGATTCAGGGCTCAGGGTTCAGGGTTTTGGGTTTTGGGTTTAGGTAGTTTTATACTAAGGATTAAGGTCTATTGGGGTCTACGTGGGTGTCCCATATTTTCGGGAACTACCTTTTCAGTTTATGGTATGCGCTCTGAGGTACAGCTAGTTGCTAGTTTAAGGTCTATGGGTTTAGGGTAGACGGTTTAAGGTGTACAAGGGTTCCTTATTGACATACTTTGGGTTATGGGCACATATATTGCGACTGGTATACTGCTAAAAAGGTTCCTAGACTTTCCAAATACCCGCAACATTAGCCTGTACACCTGTTATCCAGGGGTCAAAGGCTGTCATGTTTATAGGTAGTTGGGAGGTTTAGGTGGATCTTATTTTCCTAGTTAACCCTAAACCCTAAACCCTACATAGCAGACAGGAGCTTGGGCATGCTTTCGGGTCCCATCGCAACAAACTTTATTGGGCTCCAGTAGAGTGAAACTGAGAGCTAGATTCAAAAGAGACGTACCCTAGACTCCCTAAACCGCTGGTTGTTTTTGCGTGGGCTGCTGGGGGAGCGAGAAGGCACAGAATAGGTTCAGGATTGAACCCTGGGAAGTGAATAGCCCCAGAGGATCGAGAAGTTAGATCCCCTTTGAGGGTTGCTAGAATTATCCAATGGTAATATGGGGTACCAAGTTGGGGGCTCTGCTTTGGAGATCTTCCCCGGGGCCTGCGTACAGGCATTGCATGGAAGCATATTCCAAATTCCAGGTAGATGGGACGATCAAGCTTTTGTTTTGAGCCTTTTCGAAGGAGAAGCATTTCAGCAATACATAACCCTGGCTAATCGTGGAAAGGAAGGGAGGTTCATTACCTTTGAACGCTTTGCAGGACACTGTTGAGCAGGTGCTGGCGAAGGAGCTGCTGATGGGAAGGGTCCCAGGAAAGTGTGTCACAGTAATAATGCTAATAAGAATAATGATGATCACTGTGGTGGAATAATTCCTTCCCTTTGCATTCACTTGCCAGGCGCCCGATATTTGGGGGAGGCTAGCATTTGTTCTTTGCACTGGCGGGCAGTAGCTGCTTGCAACTTGGGTCATCACATCCCCCCACAACAAAACCCAACAGCTCCCTGATCACGAAATTCCCCCTTCACCGAGCAGCATGTGGGCGTGGCAATATTGGGTCGAAGAGATCAAGGTAGAGGGGATCATTCCCATGAATCGAAGCACCTCAAGTATCCTGTCCGAACCCCGAAACCTTAACCTTCAACGGCTAAGCCCTTTGTGAGGAGCCTACTTATCCTACTTGAAGTTTCATGAGTTGGTCATGCGTTCCCTAGGTCAGGATATTGCTGTTAATTATTCTTAACCACCCATAGAGCTTCAAATAAGACCGCATGCCACCGGCACAGTTCAGAAGCTACATGAGCCTGGACAATTCCCATTTTGCTTGGTTTATCTTCCTTGTACTTCTAGCAACATACCGCCCGACGTCCAACCAGTATTCCTCTCATTCACGTAATCATTGTAATAGTAGAAAGAAGACGACTAATAAGAAGAATTAAAGTAATAGCCGTTGCAGCAGAACAATAGTAAAAATCACAACGCTGCTGGCTTGCCACGAGGCTCCAGAAGAGACTGAGCCAAATGGCGTTGAAAGACCACCTGCCGTGCTCACCCTAGTTCCCGACACTCCTTGCAACATCTTGAAAGTATATTTGCCGCAAGGATTCTAGAATTAGAATATGGCCTGGGCCATATTATAATAAGGTCCCTATATACCCTATATTCCAGCTACTTAAAGTGGACTTTACCCAATAGTAGTATAGGGTACCATTTTGGGCGCTCTAGTTTCTGGACCCTCCCAGGGTCCTGGGTTTAGCTTGCAACACAGCATGGGCACAGGCCGCGATACGCCCACGCTGGATATTTGCTGCAGCTAGTGTCCCCACTTCATGCGAAAATGGAAGTTGGACCATCTGAGCCACAGTCTAAACTTCCTAAAGGGGGGTTACATACGGGATTATATAGAGGACGATTAGAGGGGTTGTTAAGGGGGATACTAGGACCTTAGGCTATAGCTCATATCTGGCTAAACCCTTTGGAGAGTACTTCCCCACAGGCGGGTTTAGGCTAAAGGGGTGTAGGGTTTAGGATTTAGGGTTCAGGCTGCTAGTGGTTGTGCTTTTGATGTACGTAGCTTTGACTGGGATCGTGAACAGAGCTTTTTGTGAAATACATGTATACACTCAAAATCGTGCTATTGTTATCTTGGCCCCTACACTTTAAACTTGTAGACCCTCGTACGAAAGCGCTGTAGGGTTTAGGGTTTGGGTAAACCCGTGCACAAACCCAGTTGACGTGTCATCCAACCTTGGACACTCGAGGCTGTAAGCAGCCCTCAAACACCTCCGGTGCAGCTCACGTCTCAGATTTTTGCCTAGCTTGAATTTACGCCTTAAAGCCAGTGATCCTTTCTTATACCCCTCAATATATGATAATCCTTATTGTGGGTGCCCCACAAAACGGGACCCCTAAATTTTAGAAGCCCCCAAATCTCTACTCCTTAAATGTTGCCTCCTTGTTGGGCTCGGGTGCAAAATATACAAGCTCTTGGAAGCCAGTAGTAAGATTATTACTATGACTCTGATCACTGTTCTTATTATTCGTATCATTATCATTACTGCTATAACTACATAGAGCGATGTACCCTCCTCCCTGGACCCTAAACCCTCAGAACATGAGCACATGGCGCACATAAAGGTGTACGTCTCTATATGGCTGGTCATCAAAATTATGGTCCCTTTTTGGGGTCCCTATTATAATACGGCCCCTAATATTTAGGGTACCCAAAAACGGACCATAATTTTGACAACCACCCATATATATATATACACACACCAACATACTAGCATTGGTGTGTGCATATACATATATACACCTATACACACGTGCGTAAATACTATTTGTGTGTATATATACATGCATGTATATATACATACACTCAGGTTTCTTTTTACAGATGAAGGCTGGGGGGGGGCCTTGCAGTGGAGTTTGACAGGCCCCTATGGAGTTCAGTCCCTCTCACAGGTAAGCCCGTCCCGTTGTAATAACTCTCACTGTAAGGGAGAATGACTTCAGGTCTCCGAAAACCGCTGGGGTTACGGGCCTTACGGTCCCCCGTAAACACTATGTTTCTTGTTCTGTAGACCAAGACCTCCCCCCCAAAGAAAAGAACAGCAGAACAGCTGTAAAAACACGAGATCCTCAACCGCAAGCCCTAGATCCCAAACCCTAAGCCCAAAATCAAGCTCCAAACTCTGAATCTCAAAGCAAAGCCCACAGCCTCCAAGCCCAACCCAGACCCTAAAAACTCTATATCTTAAATCCCAGCCCCGACCCTAAACCATGAGTCACCAATGCCAAAGCTCTCCAAACCTAGGCCACAAGGCATCCAATCCGCAGATGAGCCGCAAACACAGCAGCTGCTTGATCAGGCAGGTCTGGGTCAAGGGTCTGTGTGTGTTGGGTTTAGGGTCAAGTTGTCAAGGTTTAGGGTGTATAGGGCTTAAGGTTTGTGTGTTTAGGGCTTAGGGTTTGTGTGGTTAGGGTTTACGACTATGGGTTGAGGGTCAAGGGTTTGGGTGTTTAAGTTTTAGGGCCAAGGCTTTGGGGTTTGGGGTTTACGGTTTGGGTGTATAGGGGCTGTAGGGTCTAGGGTATGGGATATGGGCGTAGGTCTTGGGATGTAGCATTGTGGTTTGGCGGTGTTGTGTAGCATTGTGGTTTGGCGGTGTTAGGATTTAGGGCTTCGGGGGTCAGGGTTTCAGGCTTTGGCTTCAGGGTTTATGACTTCATGGTTTTGACGGCTTGGGCTTCAGAGTTTGGGGTTTAGGGTTTGGAGAAGGGTTTTGGGCTTTGGATAGAAGACGAGGAGATAATGAGGATAATACGTGCAGCGTACGTCCTTCCAGTCCCCATGTGCCAGACTTTTGTTTCTTCAGCCCAGCAACTACCGTGCATGAGAGCCTAGGTGCCGAGTATTAGTGGCCCTACAACCCCACTAAACCCGAAACCCTACTGTATGTTGCTGGGAGGGTCTTATTCAGTCTTCTTTGGCTCTTGAGTGGGGAGGTACCTAGAGAGGCATCGACTGTCCAAAGCGGAGCTATACATGGTTTACGGTTTAGGATATAGGGTTTAGGGTTTAGGATAGAGGGGTTCGGGTTTACGGTTAGCGCACATGATGTGGCAAGTAGGTACTGGGTACAGGAGGTCGGTTGGCGTCGCAGCGTAGGTCTTAGAGAAATGGTAGTTTCCCAAACCCAATATAGACCCCCAATATACTATAATCCTTATTTTTGGGACCCCCAAAAAGGTGACCCTAATTTTGGGAAACTCCCAAATAGGTTCAGCATGCTATGCATTGGGCAAGATTTTGTTTGTTTCTGTCGACTCACGGGTGCCGATCTGCAGATGAACAAGCCTAACCTCATCACAGTTAGGGGTTTCCCAAAGTTAGGGATAC